ATACCAGTCAAAACCAGGTAATTGCTTTCCCCCAAAGGTGCCAAATGTGGCAGCGGAGGGGGGAGAAGGCAGACAAGTAGAGCATTCCCTTTTGGGTGGAATTCCACTTTAACCGGTTGCCGACCAGTCACAGTACTTTTTACTATGGCAGAACGGCACGGCTGTGCAAAATCACGTATATATATGTGATTCGCGCACCCGCACCAACCCGTGGGTGTCATGATATTATCCAAGAAGTATCAATCATTCGACTTCAGCCAGTGATGTCTGGGCGAAGTCAGATCATCGGTCCCTGTCCTGTGTTGACAGTTACACAGGACAGGATATAATGTCAATCTTCTCTGCCTGGGCACATTCCGTCCCCAGAGAGAGAAGACGACACAGAAAAAGTGAGTACAAAGCACTACACTTACAGTTAGACACACCTAGGTCACATTTAACCCCTTGATCGCCCCCCCCCCCCCCCCCCAGTTTACTCCTTCACTGCCCTGTCACCAGTGTCATTATTTACAGTGTACAGATTTTTTACTGATCACTGTATTACAGTAGTGTCGCTGGCGACTTCAAATAGCATTAGTGTCAGTTAGCGCCCCTCCCAGATAGCGTCAGATTGCCTGCTAGTACACCAGTAATCACATTTAACCCCTTGATTGCCAGGAACACGCTCACTTACACACTAAACTTCCATTGCTAGTATAGTGTCTGAACGGATCAATATCTCTGATAAGCTCCGAGGAGCAGGGCCCTCCCATCCCTCTTGTATTGAACTGTATTGTTGCTGCATTGTCTCCCTTTATATTGTAAAGCGCTGAGTAAACTGTTGGCGCTATATAAATCCTGTATAATAATAATAATCAGATCAGCACTATACCAGCGTTCACATTAGTATAGCATCCCCAAAAACGCAGCGTTACCTGCCAACACCTGCATTTAGCCCCTACGCTCCCCCCCCCCCCAGCAAGTGCAGTGTCAGTAGATAACTGACACTTGATACATTGCACACAAAACCACAGTGTTCACAGAATCAGGCCTGATCTCTGTTAGCACTTGTCGGTAAACTTTTTGTAGCGGTTCAGTCTCTGACAGCCAGACGCTCTTTTTCCCATGAGTCGCACTAGGTACCTATAAATTTAGTGGCCAAAATGTCCAACCAAAGGTACAATAGTGAAGAGGCCTACAGGATTCTGAACATGTCAGGTGAGAGCGAAGGAGAAGACTCATTGACAGAATCTGCCTCAGAATACGAACCTGTAGACAGCAGTGGCACCCTGACAGTTAGCTCAGACGACGGAGAAGAGATCCCTGCTAAGATCAGGCGTACCCGAGCCCATTTCCAGGTTGCTGAGGTGGTACAAACGCATGATGACTCTCAAATGCAGCAGAGTGCCAGTACTAGTGCTGTACTACCTTTTGGTGAACTGGCAAGCACCAGCGGCCTAGTATGTCCTGGTCTTATACATACCAGCACTGCAGTATCACTTGGTGATGTGGCGAGTCCCATAAATGCAGTACAAGCCGGTGGCGAGCACAAGTAGTGTCCTGTGGCCACCAAGAATTCGCAAACAGGCCCATAGAGCCCCTAGTTTCCTTCTGGATGTGCTTGCAAATCCCGATTGGCAGCCCACAAATTCTGCAGCACCGTACTTCCCCCCTTCACTGCCCAACCTGAAATTCAGGTGGAAACAGCAAGTTTAAATACTCCCCTTGATTTTTTTGGAGCTGTTTTTCACAGATGATTTGTATGCATTGATTGTAGATCAAAGCAATTTATATATATACGACAATTTATCACCGCCAACCCAAATTCAAACCTTGCCAGACCATTCATATAGAAACCCATTACGGTTTCCGAATTTAAATTTTTTTTGGGCCTAACCCTCAACATGGGCATTACTAAAACAATGAATTGCGGTTGTATTGGTCCACAGACCCGATTCATTATATGCCAATGTTCTCTGCTACCATGGCCAGGCATAGATATGAGACGATATTGCGTTTTATGCACTTCAACAACAACACACTCAGTCGTCCTCGGGGTGACCCTGAATTTGACTGGCTCCACAAAATTTGGCCCCTAGTAAATCACTTTAACCAAAACTTTGCAGATGTGTATAATCCCCAACAAAACATCTGCATTGATGAGTCCCTCATTAATTTTTCTAGCCACCTTGCATTCAAACAATTTATCCCCAGCAAGCGTGCCAGATATTTCGGATTTACGAGGGAAAAGATAGTCATGCGGAGCCCCCACAATGCCCAGACTACATGGGGAGCAGTAGCAAGATAGTTTGGGACTTGGCGTCATCCTTTTTCCATATGGGGTACCACTTATATGTGGAAAATTTTTATTCAAGCGTGCCACTATTTAGACATTTGTACAATCTTGGAATTGGCACACGTGGCACTGTGTGACCTAATCACCGGGGCTTCCCCAACGGCTTGTAAATACCCATCTTAGAAAGGGGGAAAAAGCCTGTTTGAGAAACGAAGAATTGCCTGCAGTGAAGTGGAAGGCCAAACGGGATGTTTTCGTCCTGTCTTCCATTCACGCAGATACGACCATCCAAATTACCAAAGCAGCTGGTGTTGTTGAGAAGCCCCTCTGTGTTCACAATTATAACCTTAACATGGGAGGGGTGGACTTCAACGCCTAACAGGATGAAGCCATACTTAGTTTCCGAAAAGCCAGACTCTGGTACAAAAAAGTGTTTATTTCAATTGGCTTTATATAATGCTTTTGTTGTTTACAAAGCAACTGGACATAGTGGATCCTTCCTAAAATTCCAGGAAGAGATCATCACGGTCCTTTTGTATCCAGAAGGTGCTGTGACCCCAACCCAGATGCAGTTAGCAGGCTGCATGAGAGGCATTTTTACGATGCCATTCCTGGTACCCCAACCCAAAGGAACCCCCAAAAAAGATGTAGTGTCTGTAGAAGACATCAAATTAGGCGTGACAGACGCTTTTATTGTCCCTCCTATCCTGACCAACCTGGACTCTGCATCAAGGACTGCTTCTGTCGCTACCATACACTAGTGGAGTATTAGTATAGGGTACAGCACGGCACAGTTCAGGGCACATTTACACAGGGTTTCGAAAGATGTTAGGTAGTCAGGAAACTGGCTATCGCATTTGGAGAGACCCTACAATCTGTTTATAAAATGTTAAAGTTTGAAAAAAAAAAGTAAAAATAAAAAAGCACAAATCCCCCCCAAAAATTTAAATTTTAAAAACCCAAAATAGTTTTTTTTTTGTTGTCATTTTTGTTATTGTTCTACTTTTACTGTTTTATTGTTACTGTTTTATTGTTAACCATTGCTGTTTTCTTTGCGGGAATGCTTTCAGCTGCAGCACTTACCTGTTTATTCTGACAGCAACAGGAACTTGCTCTTAGAATATACATAAATCAGTGTGGGCAACGCTGTTGGGTTAGATTTTTCATCCACAGTTTAAAAAAGAGCATATATGTCGAAGCATGGGGGCCTTGGGTGGCCAGTGGGTGGATGGCCCCTATGCTTCCGCATATACAGGTGAAACTCAAAAAATTAGAATATCGTGCAAAAGTTCATTTACTTCAGTAATGCAACTTAAAAGGTGAAACTAATATATGAGATAGACTCATTACATGCAAAGCAAGATAGTTCAAGGCCGTGATTTGTCAAACTGCTGTATCAAAGCACAGTTATGTGGAAGGGAAAAGTGTGGAAGAAAAAGGTTAACAAGCAGCAGGGATGACCTGCAGCCTGGAGAGGATTGTCAGGAAAAGGCCATTCAAAAGTGTTGGGGACTTTCACAAGGAGTGGACAGGCGCTGGAGTCAGTGCATCAAGAGCCACCACACACAGACGGATCCTGGACATGGGCTTCAAATGTCGTATTCCTCTTGTACAGATCTCTCCCCTTTTGGTTTGTAAACAATACAGATCTCTCCCGTATTTATGTAAACAATACAGATCTCTCCCCTGTCTGTAAACAATGCAGATCTCTCCCCTGACTGTATCTGTAAACAATGCAGATCTCTGCCCTGTCTGTAAACAATACAGATCTCTCCCCTGTCTTTATGTAAACAATCTAGATCTCTCCTGTCTGTAAACAATATAGATCTCTCCCCTGTTGGTATGTAAACAATACAGATCTCTCCCCTGTCTGTCTGTAAACAATATAGATCTCTCCCGTCTGTATGTAAACAATACAGATCTCTCCCCCGTCAGCACCAGCACGCGCAGCTATTGCTCTGCATAACAGAATACAAAACAGCGTGCTTACACAGTAAAGCACACACAGACAAAATATTATAACAACACACAGATAACCTTTTGATCACCCCACGTTAACCCCTTCCTGCCCAGTGCCATTAGTACAGTGTCAGTGCTTTTTATTACCACTGATCACTGTATTGGTGTCACTGGGGATGTCAGTGACAGTTCCCCCAGTGTCATATTGCCCACCGAAGTCATTGATCACAGCCATTACTAAATTTTTTTTTTTAATTTCCAGTATATATACCGCAATTTGTAGATGCTTTAACTTTTGTTGCATGATCGCGCAATTGTCAAAGTAACGCAGCACCGTATCGCTAAATATGGCCTGGCCAGGAAGGGGGCAAATCCTCTGAAGGGCAAGTGGTTAATAAAACCTGTAACTATTAAAAGATTGAAAATGGGCAGTAACATGATTAATGCTTATATGAGAATTTAGTGAAGTCGCTTTATGTCCCCTTTGACGTCACTCCTGTCTTTTCACAGAACTATGGCTCACGAGAACATTATGTACTGCGCATGCTCGGACACAGTTCCACTTAGCAGGAAGAGCGGACAACTTTGTGAGACTTCCCGCCCAGTCCTATCTCCAGAGGCGTGCGCCTCGTCTAGAGACGTCACTGGCGGAATGCTCTAAAGCCACGCCTATCCAGGCGTCAAGCCGCGGCGCCGAGAAGAAAATGTCAGGCCGCTCAGTTAGAGCAGAACCCGCAGCCGGGCCAAAGATGACATCAAAAAAGTCATGGCGGCCATCGAGAAGGTCCGCAGATGGTGAGCTTTCCTCGGGACTCAGGAGAAGTGCCCTCCAACACACTCCTGGAGGGGAAGAGTCGCTCATGTAAATTGGGACTCCCCGAGCCGGCAAATAACTTAGAGAGAGGGAGGTGCTGATTGGAGGAGCAGCTGAGTGACGCGTCTAACAGCCTGTCATGAGGCTCCTCTACAAGGCTGAGCTGTCAACGTCTCATTTCAATAGGACAAAGGCGTGTCTAGGGGCAAGGATGGGATTGGTGGAACTGAGCAGCAGGAGGGGCTCAGTGATTGGACGAAGAGAGCCTTGAGAGATTGCCAAGCCTGTGAAAGGGGTCTAGTGTGGGTTACCATGGGGATGGGCGAGCGATGCAGTTGGAAGGGAAAGTTGGCTGATACTGCTGGGATGTTTACTGGTGACGTCGTGACTTGGGTGTAATACGTCACCCACCATGCCAGATAGATGAAGTATAAGACTGATTGTGTGTGGGGGTCACGTGTAGAGCCACAATGTACCAAGTAGAATGTGGTAATTTATTAGATGTAAAAGTATTTATCAGATCAATAGACCAGCCATCAGTCTTTGGAAAGGGCAGAGCAGCTCCAACTGGATACAGGTTTCCTAAAGTGGAACTCTAGCCAGTTTCTTTTTTTTTTTTTTATTGCTATGTCCCCATATGATAGATTTTCCTTTTGGTTCTGGTTCCTGTTGTCATCATTGTAGAATGCTAAACTTTTATGCCTGGTTCACACTACATGTGTTTCGGTTGCATTTTTTTCTGCATCCAAAAGCACAGAAAGTAGGTAATATGGTTGTCAATGTCATAGTTCACATCAGTGCTTGCAGTTCTGGGTGCAGAATAAAAAAGTAGAATATGCTGCATTTTTTTCTTCACAGAACTGTACTGGAATGCAGTAAAACGCACCAAAAATGCACTGGAGTGCACGTTCCTATTTAAATTGAGGAAAATGAACTGGAATGCGTAAAAAATGCATCCGGAATGCATCTAGACTGCGTTTCTATAGTGTGAACCGGCTCTTAGTGCTCATCCACATCAGCTCGCACACTAAAATGCCTGTATGATGAGTAGGGGAGGTGTTGTCACAATGTACCATACGGTTTATTTTTTAGCTGGAGTGTCACAAAATGACAGTTCTTTCACATCTGTGAGCTGCAGTGTAATCCGTGCGGTGCCATGCTCTTTGATACATAAAACTCTAAATTTACTCCTTTTTTTGCAACATACTACAACGCCCATAAACATGAAACATGAGATGTAAGGTGAAGTACTCCCCTCCTCATTCCAGTGATGCGGCAGTTAATCCCTCGCTGGATGCTGTCCTCCTCTCCCTGGTTACTTCCATGTGCTGGGTTTTCAATCTTTTAATTGGCCAGTTAGGAAATAACATCATTCCACGCATGCTCAGCACAGTGTGCATTCAATAGAAGACTGCAAGTGTTTGTTATTGTAGGGACATAGCCTGTCTCTTCAGCAATACAGAGCTGCCTGTTCTCGTTTTTTTTTTTTTTGAGGTTTCGTTCCACCCTGGGTTCACACTGATGCGGTGTGGAATTTGCACCGGTTTCTGTGCGGTTTCTGCACATCATAATCGCACCCCGTTCATACGAACTGCTGCAGGTGTGTATTTTAACGACCACCCCAAAATCCGTTTGTAAAATGCTGTGCGATGTGCAGAATCCTATCGCATGGGTGTGCACACCTATGCAAACTGATTCTGGGGCGGACAAATAAAGGATCCTGCACTTTTTGGTGCGGATGTGCTACGATATGAGCCTTACAAAATGTATGGCTCAAATTTCACCGCACAGAAATCGCATGTGATTTGCACAGGAATGCAGTGCAGTTTCTGTGTGAATCCCATGCGATGTGCCGCACTGCACCAGTGTGAACCCGGGCTAAAAGCAGAGCTAAACTCTCCCTTTGCTAAAAACAAATCTTGACCTCAGTTTAATCTTCAACTGCCATGGTGCTGCACATGTGATCAGTTATGACTCCAGCCATTTGATTGCTTGACAGTTGGCTGACAGCACAAGCAAATGTGACAGTATTCCTGGCATGCCAGGAATGTAAATGTTCTTTGAAACCGGTAAATTGATGGGTTTAGTTCCGCTTTAAGCAATGAACCTGTTAGACATTAGTCATATGTTAAATAAAAGAAGGGACTTGTTCTGGGTTGGGATTCAGCCTGGTTGCCCTATTCAGTAGCCTGTGACTAGTACATGGAGCTGAAGTGTTTTTTGTTTTTTTTTGTTTTTTTTTAAAGATGATTTTAATTAATATTTTCATTGTAACAAGAAAAATACACCAGTAGCAGAAATTTGATTTATTTTTTTCTATGGCCCACAAATGACTTTGTGCCAGTCCGTGACCAAGTTAGAGTTCGTTGTCCCTTCCACAGTCACACATTTTGTTTGGATGATTAACTTTAAAGTGGGCCCAAGACACTCTTTAGTTATCTATAGAGTAGGGAAGGGTTAGCCCTCTCTTTACACTCACTTTTGCAGACGCCATTTTTTTGTTTTCTGTTATTTTGAAAGTGTAAATGATGGAAATAAAATCTAACTTTTGTTGACATATTATAAGAATGTCTAATCTGTAATTTGAGGCCTTTTGGAGATTTTTCCATCTTTCCATGGCTTCTTTATGCACATTAATACAAATTTTTAGCTGGGGTGCCCAAACTTTCGATCCCCACTGTATATATATAGGGAAATGTGGGGTTTTTATGGGTGGCATTTCTCTACAGGCAGGCTCTTCTGATCTGCAGGTATGTAGGAAACGCTCAATAATTATATCCTCCTGAGCACATTACAAAAGTAGAGCGACATACTTTCTTGTGTGTACTTTACATGCTCCTTTAGTATACTAGAACTGATCAATAAAAGTTTTATAGTTTAAGTTTTGTACATATGACTATACTGTTTGCTCTTCCTGCAGGGAGAAGAAATGGGTGACAGTTGGGGACACCTCTCTGCGGATTTTTAAGTGGGTTCCTGTTATTGATGGAAGAGATGTACGTATGGTAAAGGCATTATAAATCTTCCTACCTGCACCTTGCGTTTTTCACCTGTATAAGATGTACATTGATCAAGTAGTTTCATGGTGTCATTTGTAGGCCTGTACACACAGTCTATAGTACAGTAAATCTTAACATTCCAGTATTCGCAATCTGTTTGTGTTCAAACATGAGGTATGTGATATAGCACGGCACGGGTTAATACATGACCTCTGTCTGTAGTCGGAGATCTGAAACTATGAAGAAACTGGGTCTCAGTCTAGTGCTGGTGAGAACTAATTAAATCTGACAGACACACGTAGGCAGAACATTCACAGACATGCAGAGAGCTGGAAGATGTTTTTATATTACATTAGCACTCCCACTTTTGTGACCTGACACAGCAGATGGCAATGCATGCACTGGATGCTGTGACCCGGAACAGGAAGTTTTCTTGTCCTTATGGCAATTGGGGACAGTCATTACAAGGTAAGACAAACAAACAACACAGGGATTATAACTATACTAATCTATATTATTATTAATATAATTATATTTGAATGCTTGGTTAGATTTGGTTTTATGCCACAATCACTCCAGTGCATGGTTTTGTCTCTTAAGATTTCTTGTGTCGTCAGTCTGCCATGGTTGTAAAGGTCGGGGCCTGATACTTCATGTAGTTAGAGGAGCAAAGTGAGTTTAGTGTGGATGAAAGAGAACTGTTGTAGACAGCAGTGGCCAGGTCCGGGCAGGACAGGGGAGAGATACTGTCATAGAGGCGATCAGTTGTAGAGTGGAAAAGAGAAGGGTTAAGTTGTGAAAGTTTCTGCGGATAATTGTTTGCTGCTTGGAGGGATATGTGTTTGAAGAAGAGGACACTGTGAAGGGGATGAGATTGTGATCAGAGAGAGGAAAGAGGGTGTTTGTGAGGTTGTTATAACTACACTAATCTATAGTTAAAGTGTTACTAAGCCCAGGATCCTGCATTTACTATATCCACAGTACACAGAACATGGAAATGCAATTCTAGTAATATACTGCTAAATACCTTTTCTTTTCAGCAGTTAGAGCAGTCTTGTGACTTCTGTTAGTGTTCAGCAGAGCACTGGTTACAGCTTGTAGGAGGAGTTTACATTCTGCTCTAGGAAGATGCAAAACCCCTGACCTCTGTCTGGATAGTGCTGGTTGGCCCTGTGCTGATCACATGCACTCTCCCATAAAAAAAAAAAAAAAAAACCCACTCTAGCAATGCACACTAAACTGAGCTTGTGCAGAGTGAATCCACACATATATCTTATCAGGAGATAAGAGGGGGACACTGAAAGAAGGGGAGGATCAGAGAAGTCAGGATCAAACTGCATTTTTACACAATGCAGAGGATTAACCCCTTAGGTTCCACAGTGCGTGGTTTACTGCATATACAGACTGATTTTGCTGTTGTGGGTTTAGTAACACTTTTAAAACAACAAAAATGTGTAAAAGTGCCTTTTAACTTCTTTCAGGGGAAGCTATCGTGAGAAAATAATACTGACTTTATTGAATGACTGTAGGTCATGTACAGAAGAGTCTCTTATCTACTGTCCTGTCACAGATAATAAAGGGACAATAATCAATCTGTGCTGTTTGATGATGCATTGTATATACCTTGTTATTTACATAAGGCTGGCTGTAGACAAGTAGATATCTCACTTGTCTGATTTTCTGGGTTTTGGGTGGACCCTCTGTGTCCTTTTGTACAGGACAGGGCCGGTTCTGCATTGTACAGGATAACAGCAGAGCTGCAACAGGTCGAGCAGCAAAAGAGATTGGGCTGGGGGGGGGGGGGGGGGGGGACGATCAATGAGAAATATACTGGAGTGCCATTTCTTAGCTTCTTCTAAAGAAAATACTGGTTGCCTTGGCTGTTATGCTGACCCTCTGGTTTCAGTATTTCTAAGTCATGTTTGCTTTTCATATTCACAAATCAATTTAAACCTTTCTCTTCTGCAGAAAGAGAAGGTGAAAGGAAGCACAACTCTGGGCAGCTCTTCCACTGCCAACTCCTCTCTCCTGCTGGAATTTCAGGGTAAGGTTCATTTTCATGTACTTAAGACCCACAAAGGATTTCTTTAATTGCCTTGGTAATGTATTGTATATTACTTCACATCTGACTAGTCATAATGTTTGTATGACTGTAGTACAGTGGGGATCGAAAGTTTGGGCACCCCAGCTAAAAAATTTGTATTAATGTGCATAAAGAAGCCAAGGAAAGATGGAAAAATCTCCAAAAGGCATCAAATTACAGATTAGACATTTTTATAATATGTCAACAAAAGTTAATTTTTATTTCCATCATTTACACTTTCAAAATAACAGAAAACAAAAAAATGGCGTCTGCAAAAGTTTGGGCACCCTGCAGAGTTAATATCTTGTACTGCCCCCTTTGGCAAGTATCACAGCTTGTAAACGCTTTTTGTAGCCAGCCAAGGGTCTTTCAATTCTTGTTTGAGGTATCTTTGCCCATTCTTCCTTACAAAAGTCTTCCAGTTCTTTGAGATTTCTGGGCTGTCTGTCACGCACAGCTCTTTTAAGGTCTATCCATAGATTTTCAATTATGTTGAGGTCAGGAGATTGTGAAGGCCATGGCAAAACCTTCAGTTTACGCCTCTTGATGTAATCCCCCGTGGATTTCGAGGTGTGTTTAGGATCATTATCCATTTGTAGAAGCCATCCTCTCTTTAACTTCAGCTTTTTCACAGATGGCATCAAGTTACCATCCAAAATTTGCTGAAATTTTACTGAATCCATTTTTTCCTTCTACTCGTGAGATGTTCCCTGTGCCACTGGCTGCAACACAATCCCAAAGCATGATTGATCCAACCCCATGCTTAACAGTTGGACAGAGTTCTTTTCATTAAATTCTGTGCCCCTTCTTCTCCAAACGTACCTTTGCTCATTCCGGCCAAAAAGTTCAATTTTAACCTCATCGGTCCACAGAACTTGTTTCCCAAAATGCATCAGGCTTGTCTATATGTTCATTTGCAAAGTTCAAACGATGATTTTTGTGGTGAGGATGTAGAAGAGGTTTTCTTCTGATGACTCTTCCATGAAGACCATATTTGTACAAGTATCTCTTTATAATGGAATAGTGTACCACAACTCCAGTGTCTGCCAGATCTTTCTGGAGGGATCGTGCAGTCAAACGTGGGTTTTGAATTGTTTTTCTCACAATCCTGCGAGCTGTTCTGTCTGATATTTTTCTTGGTCTTCCAGATCTTACTTTAACTTGCACTGTTCCTGATGACTGCCATTTCTTAATTACATTCTGAACAGAGGATATTGACATCTGAAAACGCTTTGCTATCTTCTTATAGCCTTCTCCAGCTTTGTGAGCGTCAACTATTTTCAGTTTCAGTTTTCTAGACAACTGCTTAGAAGAACCCATGGTGCTGATTGTTGGGGCAAGGTCAGATGAGTCTGGGCATTTAAAACCTTTGAGATTGACATCACCTGGTCTTCCCAGACGATGATTGAGAACAATCCATGACACTGGCAGGTCTCAGCTTGGCAAAGGGGGCAGTGCATGCTATAAATTCTGCAGGGTGCCCAAACTTTTGCAGACGCCATTTTTTTGTTTTCTGTTATGTTGAAAGTGTAAATGATGGAAATAAAATCTAACTTTTGTTGACATATTATAAGAATGTCTAATCTGTAATTTGATGCCTTTTTGGAGATTTTTCCATCTTTCCTCGGCTTCTTTATGCACATTAATACAAATTTTTAGCTGGGGTGCCCAAACTTTCGATCCCCACTGTAGAAATGTGAGATGGCAAGCTTCCATTGAGGCAGGAACTTTTGCTGTGGTTAGCAATGGCAGTGTAGTCTGAGCCCTGACTCGTGAGTTTCTTCATTGGTGCATCATATGATGGGTGTCCTCACTGGCCAATTGGAAGGTTCCGTTTGAACTGCGCAGTTTTATTTTTTGTCAGCTTTACATTAAAAGGAACCTGTAAATTGCCTGTACTGGGCTCAGAAAACTCACTCTAAGGCTTGGTTCACATATATGCATTTTTCGTTTGATGCTTTCTCTAGTGCTTTTTGCAGTTTTTGTGTTTTTTCTACACGCGTTTTTGACACGTTTTTACTGCATGTTGCGTTTTGTTCAGCTCCTTTTTTTTGTTGTTGTTAGTGGAATTTTTTTTTTTTTTGCTGGGCAGAATAAAAATGCAAACTGCATCAAAAAAAACACACTACCATGCATTTCAGCAGCTTTTCCATTTTAGCAAAAACTCTGCTTTTTTGCTTTCAAAAAAGTACCTGGTCCTTTCCAAAAACACAGCAGCTCAAAAAAAAAACCATAGATGTGAGCATGTTCCATAGGAAACCCTGTTAAATGGACTGTAGTGCATTTTTGCAAAAAGCACTAAAAAACGTATTGGTGTGATCGGAGCCTAAAAGAGGATTTTATACCACATTTGTGGTAGAGCGTAGTGTTTTAGGGATCATATAGTGTAAAAGTTAGAGCAGCTCTGGTCCTGTCAGTAATGTAGAAGGAAGGGATGTCCTAACCAGAAACACGAAAATAATTTTTGGGCTACAGCTCACAGAACGTTAGTGTGGTCAACAGGTTGTACATACAAGAATAATTTAAAAAAAGGATAAGAAATCATGGGAAATTTTGACTTTTTCTTTTGGTTGATCAAATAATCAATTCTGGGTTCAAATTGGAGATCGCACAAAAAAGCATGCACTGTCAACTGCGTTAGTTCAGTGGCAAGAATAAATCTGCATTGTTGTTCAGTAGAAAAATGAAATCTGCATTAGCATTCATTTTCAAGAATAAACTTGCATTGGTGTTCAGCTACAGGGTTAAATTAGTTTTGGTGTTTGCTTGGCATGTTAAAATGATTGTAAATGTTCTTTAAAAAAAAAATTAAATAAAACATCTTATACTTACCTGCTCTGTGTAATAGATTTACACAGAGCAGACCCGATCCCCCCCCCCCCCCCCCTCTTCTGTGGGTCACACGCTGGCACTCTGGGCCGAAATTGTTCCTCCTCAAGTATTTCTGTGTGTTTTGCCACCATGTAAAGTTATGTACCCCTTGGGGGGCTAAGCACCCTTAACTTAAATTTTTGGTTGCACCCTTTGCATCATACATACTAGGGGGGACCACTACAAAACTCAGGTCTCTCTTATTGGGGAATCAATGGTGGAGAAGGATCTGGGGCTGGTTCTGGTAGATCACAAGCTTAATAATGGCATGCAATGACCCAAGCTGCGGTATCTAAAGCATCAGCAAAATCCTCTCTTGTATTAAAGTAGAATGATGGCTTTACCGAAAATAGACTCCAGAGAGAGAGAGATATCATATTACCCTCTGTAGCAAATCATTTATGTAAGACCTCATCCCTGGAATATGCAATTCAGTTTTGGGCACCAATTCAAAAAAGAACATGCCATGGGGAACTGTTGCGAGAAAGTAGTTCTCTGGAGAGTAACCTTGAAGGGCAACCAAACTGTTGATGCTTAGGAGGCATGGAGGAGATCAGCTTCATGAATGCCCACACCTGAAAGAGTTTAGAGGAACTGTAAATTCTTATTTTCCGCAGTTGTCTTTCTTGAGGTTTGTGTGAATGTCGAATTTGCTTTCTTTCCTCCCTTTTTTTTGTTTTGAGATTAAAGGGGGATGTGTTATGATCAACATGTATAAATACATCAATTTGGTTCATATAGTGAACTGGTGTAGAGTTATTCACCCTGAGATCAGAGGACAAGAGGGCACTCTTTATGACTGGAGGAAAAGATTTAATTTCCCAATTACGGAAAGGTTTCTTCACAGTGAGAGCTGTGAAAATGTGGAATAGACTCCTTTTAAGAGTTGGTTCTGGCCAGCTCAGTGGATTGCTTTTAAAATGGCCTGCATTGTTTCCTAGATACACAGAATATAACTAGATACTAACATTTATAGGTAAAGTTGATCCAGCGAAGATCCGATTGCCTCTCGGGAGATCAGGAAGGAATTTGTTTTCCCCTGCAGGAGCAAATTGGATTATGCTTTGCTAGGGTTTTTTTTTTTTTTTTTGCCTTCTTCTGGACCAACTGTGGGTATAGGATTATAACTTTTTGGTTGAACTGGATAAACTTTGGTCTTTTTTTTTTTTTCAGCCAGACTAACTATGTAACCATAGGGTACTAGCATGCAAGCTTGATTCCCAGCCTCGCTGTGTGTGTCCATTGACACACACAGTGTCGTTCAGACCTGCCCCCTGCTCCCTTGTCACTGGATTAGCAGCAGGAGTCAATGGCTCCCACTACTCACTGAGTCCAGTGAGGTGGGAGAGAGAGCAGTGCCATTAATACTGGACACTGTGCTAGGTCGAGATCAGGCTCAGGTAAGTATTGGGGGGGGGGGGGGGGGGGGGGGGGGGGGGGGGGGGAGTTGCATGGAAGCTACCTTCTTAATAGGTTTTTTTGCAAGAATTCATTTAAGGTAAAAAAACTTAAAGCCCTTACAACCACTTAAACTTGCACTGGTGTTCAGTGGCTAAATTAAACCTGCACTGGTGTGCAGTGGTCAGATTAATCTTTAATTGGTTTTAAGTGACAAGGGTAAACCTGCACTGGTGCTCATTGGTAATACTGCTGCAAGTCTATGTTATGCCCCAACTCTTCATTCTTTCCTGAGAGACTAGAGCTGCTCCTCTCATTCTTCACTGCTGTCTCTTCATAGTACGAGCAGACAATGACTGACAGTGTTAAAATCATAGCAATAAACTAAACAAAAAAGGAAAAATCAAAACTGTACATACAAACAAGCCACTGTCTCTTATCTCTCTCCAATTGAGAGTAATCACAACAGTGCAGGTAACACATTGAATGGTACAACTAGCACACATCTAACTTCCCAACAATATCAGACATATTTAACCAGATGTGAATACAGCCTTAACAAAATAGGAAAATATAAAGTATTTGTATTCTGCAGATCTTGGATTTTTTCTGTAAGGGATAAATATACTGTATACTTTCTTTTTTACTAATGAAGTGTCATTGTATTACAGATGAGACCAGTAACCAAAGTTCCTTTTCTGATGTATACCAGCCAAAGGTAGAAAGCAGCAACTCCAGCCCAAGTCCCCCACATAGTGAGTCTCCCAGTCCAGTGCACACATCTGATTCTCAGCCCCCAACCCTGGGACAGGAGAGCTTGGCTGGTAAGAATATGTGATCCTGAGACCTTGTGTGAAGAGGCAACGTGGGGCGGCACCTGGATCACACTACTGTACTGTCATTGTGTCAGAGAGTTGGGCAGCTGTCATACACACATTAATGAACCAATTGTATACATTAACACAGAAAATCTGATTGCTGATTGGTATGTTTGATAACTGCAAAATCGTGTAATAAACTGAACCTGTAGTTGGGATAAATATGTGAACTTAGTAAAGTTGGTGCCAAATAGCAGGTGCCATAAGGTGCAAGAACATACTGTTCTACTTTTGGAGCTCCTCCTCTCTACTATGTTATGGGGAAGAATAAGCACTCTATCTCTTGCATTACACAATCCAGGGCTCTGTGCCTGACCAGTCTATGAAAATACTCAAACTTTGCCATGTTGGGGGCATACTGTATATAAACACCAGCATTAAGATGGTCTGTTTTGTATATTCACTGAAATAATCTATTGGTGCTCTAAGGTTTGCAAACTGAATAGCGTAAATATGATCTTGCACATTATGGTACATGCTTTTTTTTTTTTTTTTTGCCTGTAAATTTTAGTTCAAACATTTTACCTTCATTATAGGGATTTACTTGCATTGTATTATATTTTTTATATATATATATATTATATATTTATATATATATATATATATATATAATAGGAATTTGGCAATCTATTAATAAGCGTGATTAGAACACAGAGGTGTTCTTGCATACAACACAAACACCCAGTCATAAGTTCTGCTTCACTGCTGTGCCCAGGATGAAACATGAAACACATTCCATCATGTAAAAACTGGAACTAAACCCTCATCCTTTACAGCCAAGGAAGCACCATCTTAGCTTGTTTAATCTGCAACTGCCATGGCATTGCACAGGTGATCAGCTATGATACCAGCAATTTGATGACTTGACAGTTCAGTTGAGAGATGACATAAACCCACTAGTACTGTTTAGGGAAACCCCTAAATCGATGGGTTTGTTTCTGCTTTAACATTTACAGCTACATACTGTACACTAAAGTTGCTACAGCTGAATTAGAATTTAGATATTTATCATACTGCTTTTACTTTGCTGTGCAGACTGTCATTTTATGGTAGCAACTATTGGATACGAAAGTAACAGGAAGCTAGTTTCAGTTAACAAATCTGTTTACAAGAACAAATTTAGTATTGTTAAACACTATTTACATAAAGTAGTTTATGCAAAAGTAAGTTCAATAGCCGTTTAGAAGAGAACTCCATACAAATACATTGATGTTGAGGGGGCTAAATATTACAGCCAGGGCTGCAGATGGGGGGCAGCACTGGTCCTCCTGTAGGGGGCTCAGGCACAACAGCCGAAGATGTTGGCTCGGTCATGTGATCAGCTGTGTCCAATCACAGCAGATCACATGTAAACACGGAAATGCTGGTTATCGGCATTTCTCTCCTCTCGAGCTGTCACGCTGACAGTGCTATCAGTGCCCATCACTGCAGCCTCATTAGCACACATCAGTGAAGGACAAAAATCACTTATTTACAAAATTGTATAACAAAAACTAAGAAAAATATATTTTGTTTTCAAAATTTTCAGTGGTTTTTGGTTTAAGAAAAAATAAAAATCCCAGAGGTGATTAAATACCACCAAAAGAAAGCTCTATCTGTCTTAAAAAAAAAAAATGATAAAAATTTAATATGGGTACAATGTTGCATGACCACGCAATTGTCATTCAAAGCGTGACAGCGCTGGAAATTGGCCTGGGCAGGAAGGGGGTATAAGTGCCCTGTAGGCTAGTGGTTAAAGTGGTTGTAAACCCTTACATATATCCAGTGAAGTGACTGGCTTCAGGTGATGCACCTAATAAAACAAATCCTCCTACATAAGTTGTACCTGTCTATTTGTAGTATTATCTTCTCTACATTCTTTCAAAGTGCTGCGTTTATAAAGCTTGTCTGAGCTGTCAGAAATCTGGGGATAGAGATGAAATCACACACTGTGGGGAAAGCTGATTGGAGGGAAGGGAGACACCTCCGGCTTCACACAGGAACAGAGCTGAGGCTGTCAATCACAGGCTGGATTCCTCTCCGCTACCTTTTTTCTCATAATGTCAGGAAAACTTGTCGGAGGAATGGGGCAGCAGACAGACAGAAATAACACTTGGTGCTCTGGATTGAGACAAGTACATAATTTTTTTTTTTTTTTAAGTCCGCAAACGTGCAACTATAACGAAAAAATCCCGTAAGTGTTCACAAAAAAAGTGCAAGTGCAAAACACCACACGAAAAAGTGCACTTAGGGGTGTGCTGTGTCCTACCCCTAAAGGGGCTTGGACCGCTTACCCTGATCCCCCGGGGCACGAAGCTCCTGACGGGGACAAGGCTCCCAATTGGTCCTCCTGGCCAAAAGGCTGGTGGACCACCGTTCCCTATGCCCAGCCAAAGCCGGACATCCAGTACTAGGCAAGGGGACTCTCCCGAAGAAGAGTCCCCTAGGGATCAGGGGAGGAAGGAACCGTATGGCCACACATCCTCCCCCTAGACTTCAGGGTAGGCCCGAGGACCCACACCCTCCATCCGTGAAAAAACACACACATAAGAGCAAAAAAGTGACAAACGTGGGAAGTGCATAATAAATAAAGAACAAGACAAGTACATAATATAGAGAGATATGCTTTGTTCATATTTTATGTCTGAGGCTTACAACCACTTCAAATCCTATCCTTTGCAGCGAAGTAAATGGTCACCTTAGTGTCTGTTTGAATTGCAATTGCCATGGTGCTAACCATGTGATCAGCTATGACACTAGCCATTTGATGGATTGACAGTTTGGTTAAACACTAAAATAAGCACACTAGTAATGGTAAAGTCAGCCATAGATGTATCAAATCTCATTCGATCCATCTATGGGCAGGCTGGTTTCACTGAAGTCAATCCACCGATCTTCTTTAGTACAACCAGCCTGTTGACTTTGTAGCATGCAATCACAGCCGGTGGCTATAGCTGCTAGCAGTGATCATTGTGGTCTGCCGGCAGAACACAATAGCACCACGGGAGGGATTCCCTCATCAACACAGTCAGCAATCAAGCAATTTTCTTTCCTTCTATCTGTGATGGAAGAAAAGAAAATTTGTATAATTTATTGCTTGATTAGCAGTTACCATTCAAGTTATGCCCTAAATGTAACTGTTTTGGGAAACTGTTCAGTTCTACTTTAAAGCTGAAATAAACAGCTTTTAAAGATTTAAGGCAAAACATTTTTTTTTTTTACATTTTGGGGTGAGGTACAGTTATAACCCTTGTTAGGTTTTTTTGACATCTGTGTCCTATTGAGGACATTTCCTTCACTTCCTGTCCTATAGCTACAACAGGATGTGAGGGGAAATCATTCCAAAATGGGGAAAATCTGTGGTAGTCACCAGTATTGCCAGAACTAGTATCCCCATTGGTAGATTTTTCATCTATTTCTGTTCTGCCACCCACAAATGTGGGATTTTCTTTTCCAATTTTGGTGATAATGGACATCAGGACGAAATCTAACAGGTGATGTTATCACTCTCCACATCTAAAACAAAACTAAAAAAAAGTTTTGCCTTCAGTTATACTTTAATGTGACATCTGCCCCCCCCCCCCCCCCCCCTTCCTTAACATGTCAAAATGTTGCAAATAAAAGCACCTGTGAGTGAAAAAAAGTCAGTAAATATACTTCCCCCACCTCTCTCATGCCCATGATGCTTAGGTAAGGGTAACATAACTATCCTAGTGAGACTTGGAATGCTACGACACTCCTGCACTGTGCTGTAGCCTCGTAGGGAAATTTGGAGTAGTTGTAATTCCCGGCATCTCTTAGGTCTACTTCTAGAGGCATCAGGCTTTTTCCTTTTTTTTTTTTTTTTTTATTTATTTATTTATTTTTACTGGAGCAGCAGCATTTTGGCAGAAAAAAACAATTCATGTACTTAAACATGCCTAAACGCTAGGCGCTAATTTATTTCAATGGCCAGAATAAATTTATTCTTGCCAGTGAAATTAATCAACGCTCAAACGCTTGATATGGGTAAACACGGTACACACTTTTACAAGCATCAGGCAGTTTTTTTGGGCTAAAATGCTACTGCCAGGAGACTTCTAGGGGAGATAAAAAAAAAAAAAAAACAAAACAAAAAAACTGTCAGTGTGCATGAGGCCTCAGGAAAGATAGTGACGTCCACTCCTGCAGTACAAAAGTTAAGGGAAAGGTAAATAAATTAAATTTTGTTTGCAGTGGTTTAAAGTGGGGAATGAGATCTGGAAAGTTAGCTTTTATCCTGTCAGAATATTAATACCACATGGCAGCTCTTCTGGCATTATTTTTCCATTGAAACTGGTTCAGATAGTAAGTGCAGCATCAAATTCACACAAAAACCCTGCAACAACAAAGGACTTGTTAATGAGAACATATTCTTTGATTTATGGTGCACAGAGACCCTATAACAGATACAACATTAAAGGTCCTCTAGAAATAAATACATTGTACAAAGTGCTAAAAGTAACACAACCAATAAAAAAAAAAAAAGACACAATGTTTATTGAATAAAATCAATATATTCAATATGAACTATACTGTATATTCTAGTCCATACAACACATATACCGTGGATATAACGTTTTCACACCCCTGTTAAAATGTCAGGTTCAGTGATGTAAAAAATGTGACAAAGATAAATCATTTCACTTTTTCCACCTTTAATGTAACTTATAAACTGTACAACTCAGTTAAACAACAAACTGAAATCTTTTAGGTGGAGGGAAGTAAAAATAAAAAACTAAAATATGGTTGCATAAGTGTTCACACCCTTAAACTAATACTTTGTTGAAGCACCTTTCAGCATGGCACATCTTGACTTGGCAATATTTGCCCACTCTTCTTTGCAAAAACGTTCCAAATCAGTCAGATTGCGAGGCCATCTCCTGTGCACAGACCGATCACCCCACATATGTTCGATTGGATTCAGGTCTGGGCTCTGGCTGGGCCATTCCAAACCTTTAAT